GCTCATTGCAACCTCTGCCTCCTGGGTTCAAGCAATTCTCCTGCCTCAGCCTCCAAAGTCGCTGGGACTACAGGCATGTGCCACCACACCAGCTAATTGTTTGTATGTTTAGTAGAGATGGGGTTTCACCATGTTAGCCAGGATGGTCTCGATTTCCTGACCTCGTGATCTGCCCGCCTCAGCCTCCCAAAGTGCTAGGATTATAGGCGTGAATCTCCTTTTCTTAAACTCATTCTTATCTTTTATTTTTGTCATTTCTTAGTTGAATACAGACCCTTATAGTTGAAAATGCATCATTCGAGGGTTTCCTTTGGTCTGCAGATCTGTTTTGGTGGCAAGTTGTAGGTTGTAAAATTATTATTTAGATCAGTTCTTGCATATGAATAGTGTTTTTAATTAGAAAGGGCATTCATCCTCTAACTACTATTCATCTGCTAACTACTGTTGCCTGCTGTCTTTCCACACTGCATAAGTTTTGCCCATAAAAGCATTATTTTTGCCAAACTAAACTCACATAACCACTTTTAGAATATACTACGTTCTACAACTGATGTTAAGAACTTTTTATATAAATGTTGATATGTGTGTGTTTGTGTGTGATAAGTATTATTATTATTACTGTTTTACCATTACAAGGATTGGATATTTGAAAAGTTATGTGATATTCTACAATTATACAACTAGTGTGGAGAATATTCAAGATTAACAATTGAAACTGAGTTCCAACCTAATCAAAATCTGTGCTATTGGCTACTTTACAATGAGCATAGATGTGCTAGTCATAGGATGAGATTATGAGGGGAAGGTTACAATTCTGTTTGCATCTTGCTAATTTATTTAGTTCTTTTTGTAGTTTGGAGAGCTGTCAATTCACACTTCTGTTATTTTTGTTTGTTTCACTTCCAGCAGAAGCCTGATAGTGAATAAGATGAAATTAGCACCTACTTAATCAGAGCATTATCTATTTTACTTTTTTCATCTTCTTTAGGGAAGAAGTATGATATTTTACAAGTGTCACTGCATGCACTATCAATGGAAGTTTTGACATTTCTGTACTCTAGCCTCAGAATATGTTTTTTTTTTTATTCCATTTTCAAAAAACAAGTTCTCATATGTTTTTTGGGGTACATGTGAAGAACATGCAAGACTGTTGCATAGGTATACACGTGGCAGTGTGATTTGCTGCCTTCCTCCCCCTCACCTATATCTGGCATTTCTCCCTTTGCCATCCCCCCTCAACTCCCCACACCCCACTGTCCCTCCCCTATTTCCCTCCAACAGACCCCAGTGTGTAGTGCTCCCCTCCCTGTGTCCATGTGTTCTCATTGTTCAACACCCGCCTATGAGTGAGAACATGCGGTTTGCTGAGAATGATGGCTTCCAGGTTCATCCATGCCCCTACAAAGGACACAAACTCATCATTTTTGATGGCTGCGTAATATTCCATGGTGTTATGCGCCACATTTAGCAATCCCATTACTGGGTATATATCCAAAGGATTATAAATTGTTCTACTATAAGGACTCAGCATATGTTTTTAGGAAAAAATATTTAAAGCATCTACTTCTGTTCTGAAATAATATAGTATCTATAGCTGTCCCATTGCTTTTGCATGAATTCCCCATTTTACTAAATGTATATATGGAACACAAAAGTTTACCTTGCATCTGGAAAAGAAGAGATAGTCAATCGTATAAGTCTAAAATTGGAAATTCATTCGTGAATAATGCATAAATACCATTAGAAAAAGCTCTGTCTCAGGTAGTATTCAAAAGATTCCAAGTTCTCTGAGGCAAGAAAAGACAGAATAAAAAAACACTAGCATGAATAAACTGAATTAAATATAATGGCTTTTGCTAGGAATGATCTCTAACACATAAAGCGCTTACTATGTGCAGATTCTCTTTTATGTATTTTTCATATATTAGCTCATTTGGCATAGAAAAAAATAGAGAGTAAAGGTGCATTGTAGGTGAAAAATAGGATTCCACGTAAGTTTTAAGTTTGCTGTGTGTATATGTGTGTGTGTACACAGGCATGTGGTCACATATTATGGGTCATGATATAAATCATGTGGATTCCTTATTTTAAAAAGTCTAAAACCTTTCGTCAAGAGTCTCTGAATAGCTTGTGCAAAGTTAGGCATGAGACTGTGCTTCAGTAACACAGGATAATGTATTTTATAATGTGCTCACTGATCATTCACTGACTTATTCATTTATTCATTCATTCATTTATATACATTCACTCATTGCCTTAACAAATATTTAGAGTGTCATCACTTTCTAAGTGCTCTTTTAAGCACACAGATTTTTTTGTGTGTAAGTTTTTTTTTTGTTTGTTTGTTTTTGTTTTTGTTTTTGTTTTGTTTTTTTACTTTTAAGTTCAGGGATACATGTGCAGGCTTGTTACATAGGTAAATTTGCATCATGGGGGTTTGTTGTACAGATTATTTCATCACCCAGGTATTAAACCTGGACCCATTAGTTATTTTTTCTGATCTTCCTCCTCCTACCCTCCACCCTTCAATAAGCCCCAATGTCTGTTGCCTCTGAGCATACGAATTTTAAATGATGAGAATAATACCATCTTCCATTATTTGAATAAAACCACCATTTTCCTAATTAATGGAGATTATTGTAATACCTGGACTGTGGCTAAACAGCGTGATAGCATGAAAATTTTAAAAGCTGGGATACTAGACTCTGAATACTCAATGGGAAAATTTTTGTCCTTGAACAAAGATCATAGAACTAAGCTAGAAACTTACCTTGCTCTTCAAGAAAGATAACACACTTTCAGCTGATATCTTCAAATTGCAAGTCCTACTCAAGGAAGAAAGAAAATATTCTTTACTGTCTAGCCACAAATATTGAAGTTCTCTAGAGGAAGGGAGATATAAGGAAAAGCAATGATTAGATGAGGATTAAAAAATATTCTCCAACTTGTCACACAGGGCTGCTGCTGTGAGGAAAAAGACAAGTCTCTAAATACACTCTGTAAAGTGCTAAAGAGCTCTAAGCAAAGATCATCATACCCATTTTTAGCTGGGCATTTTATCTCTGGCCATTGTTGCAGGCTCAGAGGAGTAATATACCAGTGTGAAATAAGGCCACTTAGTACAATGGACAACCTTTTACACTGAGATCAATAAGTGATCACCAAAAGGTAGACACACAGGGTGGAACCTCTAATATGATGTTAAATAGAGTCATGTTGGGATGTTAGAGATCAATGACTGGAAACCAAAAATAATTGAAGGATTTGAACTTACATAAAGATCTCAGGGGACAAGTTACCTATGAGAATAGCCAGAGTCTCTCACTCCAATCATCTAGAGAAGCAACAATTTAACTGCCTATGGAAACCTGGTTCAGTGTTCTTAGGAAGAACGCTAGTATATTTACTTTATTTGGGGTTATTTCCTCTTGGTAGTGCAGAACATCTTCAGAAAAGATTCAGCATTAACTTTCCTGGCAGAAATCAGACAGAATCATGAGCGGCATCATGGAAACTAGGCTAAAGTGCTAGATAAGTTGTGTTGCCCATGGCAGCATGACTTCCCAAAATTCATATTGAGATTATAGGTTTTATAAGCACATATGCACTTCAGTTCTCTCATTAATAAAATAGAGATGAGTACTTTTTTTCTAAGCTAGTAGAATAGATGGTTTTGCCAGCATCCTTACCCACTTGGAAATAGCAAGTCGTATGTTGAGATTCACACTGTGAACTTGTATCCAGGAAGAAACATGATTGTTCAACATAAAGTGAAAGAAAACTTTGGATATTGCTAAAAACAAGACAGACAGCAGTCCACATGGAAAACTGTGAGTCAATCCCTCCATGTGATAGAGGGGGAGTACCCCACAATACACATTCCCACCAGGAACATAGGCAATCTAGGCCATAGGGAAATTTTTCAGCTACCCAAAACCTGAATCAGTCTTGGGGAACAGTCAAGAGACTGTGAAGAGCACTGGGAAGTACCCCACATGCACAACCAGGCTTAAGTACAAGTGGAAGGAGGTCACTCCTGATGCTAACTCATAGTGGGTTACACAGGAACCTGCCAGCCAATACTGGTGGCAGTCACTGGTTTGTAGAGTGTTTAACCAGGGACTTGTGATCTTAAATTGACTGGAAGAGAAATCCACATGGCCAGAATGGAGAGGCAAGAATAGCATGGGCTTCAGCTGTGGGCAATGAAATTGGGCATTCACCTTGCAGGACCAGGCCAGCAGGGTTTGAGTCTGAGAGGAGTGGTTTTGACCAGGGAGCAAGTTTTGCAGCCTGGAAGATTTTCACATTCTAAAGGCAAACTGCATTTGGATTTGCTAACTGTCGCAATTCGCTACTGGTGTCCAGCTGTGGGAGGGAATCCTGGTCTGTTGTGTGAGAGCAAATTGGGTCTTGCTACCCCTTGATAGGCTGTGGAACCTAAAATGCAGTATTTGCCTCATGGGGTCATTGGTACAGCAGCAGTTGCTCTGCTCCTTGAAGAAGTGTTTCTTCAGAGGCCTGAGGACTGCTCTCTGAATCCTGTAAGGGCTGGCCCTTACATGCCATTGTACATGCCATTGTGGGGTTCAAGTGCAAGCTTGCACATCCCAGCAGTGCCCAGCTTTGGCCCCTTGCCTTGGATACAAGAAAATCTACAGAGTCTACACCACTGAAGACACCCAGAAACAAAGCCAAATAACCCTACTCAGCATACATCATTGTCACATTCTCAAGAAAAATAAGTCGGGGGATCGATCCAACGTGGCCGTTTAGGAACAGCTCAGGATTGAAGCTCCCAGTGAAAGGGTGAGTGGACGCCACATTTTTATTGCCCACAGACTAGGAAATTCCCAGGCAGAGGAGACCCACGGGTTGCCAGGGCAGCTGTTTCGGCCAGTGAAGCTGTGTCAGCCAGCGCGGCTGCCTTGCCCCGCTTGGCTGCTTTGTCAGCGCCCTGGCACAGCAGTTCTCCATACAAAATACACTGGTCTGGGTGCCCTTTTGGCTGGTGATTGGAGCCACAGGAAGTCACCCATTCATCTGGTTAAAAAGGGGATTGAACAGGAAACCAGGACAGTAGATTCCAGGGCAAAAAAAGCGCCATGAATCTCAGTGCCACTGTTTAAGCCAGCGCAGTGAGTCGCCGCATGGAAAAACACACAGATCCCAGCGCCTCTTCAACAGGTGACTGGAACACCAACTTAAAAAAAAAAAGGCTCTGAGGCAGGGAGCCAGGCGATCAGGCTCTGCTGGTCCCACCCCCACAAAAGAACAGCAATCAGAAACTCTCTGGATTGAGAGCTTCACAGCAAGCGCAGCTGAACCCCGGACAGTCCAGTTCTGTGGGGGAGGGGTGTCCGCCATTACCTAGGCACTCCAACACTATGGAGGTAGTCAGCCAATGCTGAGGCAACCCACCATTGACGAGGCAACCCGCCATTACAGAGAGAGTCTGCCAATACAGAGGTGGGCCACCATTGCCGAGGCAGTTCTAACTACACCCATACAAAGAAGACTGCAGGGAAGTTCACTTGGCAGCTGGGTGGAGCCCACAGCAGCTCAGCAAAGCCTCTACAGGCAGACAGTGATTAGGCTCCTCCTTGCTGGGCAGGGCAGCTCTGAAGGAAAAAAAAAAAGAACTCATAAATAAAGCCCTAAATCCCTGGAACAGAGCACTTGGGAACAAAAAGTGGTTTATGAGTTCTGCTGCAGCAGACCTAAATGTACCTGCCGAGCAGCTCTGAATGAACAACGGAGCTCACAGCTCAGCATTTGAGCTCCTATAAAGAACAGACCGTCTCCTCAAGCAGCTCCCTGACCCCCGTATATCCAAAGAGCCACCTCATAAAGGAGAGATCAGACTGACACTTGGCGGGTATCCTTCTGGGACAAAGATAGCAGAAGAAGAAAACTGGTAGCAACCCTTATTGCTCTGCAGCTGCTGCAGGTGATCCCCAGGCAAGCAGGACCTGGAGTGGCCCTCAGGAGACCTACAGCAGAGGGGCCAGACTGTTAGAAGGAAAACTAAGAAACAGAAATAACCTCATCATCAACAAACAGAACGTCCACTCAGAGACCCAATCCGAAAGGCAGCAACTACAAAGACAACAGGTGGATAAATCCATAAAATGGGAAGAAACCAGCACAAAAAGGATGAAAACACCCGAAACTAGAACACCTCTCCTCCTACAAGGAATCAAAACTCCTCACCAGCAAGGGAAAAAGGTTGGATGGAGAACGAGTGTGATGAAATGACAGAATTAGACTTCAGAAGGTGGTTAGGAAGAAACTTCTGTGAACTAAAAGAACATGTTCTAACCCAATGCAGAGAAACTAAGAACCTTGAAAAAAGATTTGACGAAATGCTAATGAGAATAGACCAAAATAGAAAGGAATATAAGTGAATTGATGGAGCTGAAAAACACAACACGAGAACATCGCAAAGCATGCACAAGTTTCGATACTGAATTGAC